GTCGGTCGTCGTCGTCGGTCGTCGTCGTCGGTCGTCGTCGTCGTCGTCGTCGTCGTCGGTCAGCGCCTCCTCGAGCAGCCGCATGCCGGTTTGCTGCTCCTCAAACAATGCGCGCCATCAGTCTTCTGGTGGTGTCCGTAGATCTTCAATTTGTGCCGGCACCGATCCCACTTCTAATGTCGGAGAAACACTTTTCTCAACGACATCTGTAGTGGTTGAAGACTTCGTGGGCGTCATTTAGGGTAAAGTGCAAGCACAAAACACGATGACCCAACTCGATCCGTCTTCACTTCACGACTATATTCGTAACAACTGTCAAAACGCCTTATATAAAGATGGTGCCTCGACCCCTCTCAAGCCCACCTGGCTCTGCGCTGATTGGTCGTTACTTAAATTACGATAATAATGTTATTTAGTCTAGGAAAAACGTAACTTATAAAGTAAGATCAAATTAAAAGTTATTAGAAGCTTTTACAATATCAATAAACATTAAAAATTGCACACAATGCGTTAAACAGTAATTCAGTTGACAATGGCTACTTAATAACTTCCTACTTTAAATATATTGTTAGCTGAGGGTGGAACTTAAAAATAATGGTAGGGTGATGTCAATATAAGAGACCGCACCCTCATTTTCGGGCCACACTCGCCACCGAACACTGAAGCTAGCGGAAGCTCTGCCCGTTTGACTAGCCAAAATAATTAATCATTTTAACTCTGATAGTTGATTAAGTTAGTGTTGTATTTTTAAATCATTTTAGTGTTAATTACATTTATTCAATTCTGTTAGTTTTCTTATTAATTCAAAAAGTACTGTAGTAGTGTATAAGAGATAGTTTTTTTTAATTTTCCCTGCTTCTGATCCCTAAGATCATAAGTGGGATAGAGAAACTCCCACGTCCTTGTTTGTACATCCTGATACGATGTGTTTCCATTGTTATTTCTTTAATTGGCTAGTCATACGATCAGAAATATATTTTTGGTAATTGTAACTACCCTTGTTTAAAAGGACAAATTAGCACTTTGTTTTCGGTGTTTGGTATAATATACGTAAGTAAGACGTGATGTGACAGTGTGATCAAGTTTTATAATGTCAACTTTGGTGAGTACGTTCCAATTATTTTATTCTCCGTTTTAAAATAACAAATAGAAGTTGAATTTGTTAGTTTGTTGTGAAATTTTTTAAATGGCTCAACTTTAATATTTTGCCGTGCTTACCCTGCTGATCAATTATTTACCGTAACTTGAATACGTTGCTTCGAATTACGTCTAATTTTAAATACTTGCTAAAAAAAAAGAAAACATGCCTAATAAGAGGCGGCAGAATAGAAGTCGGTCGCGAAATCGCAGATCGCATTCTAGCCAACATGATTCGCGCTACAGACGACGTAGCCCTTCTAGCAATATTTTAACCGAAACAATGCAACAAATTTTAAATAGATTGGTGTCATTAGAGGAACAACAGATAGTGTCTTCATCTCATCGGAAGGAGCAAAGTGGCCGCGCCACAGTGGAAGTGGCCAGGTCCGCGGTGCCTGTGACATTCATCAGCACCGAGCCCGTTCCTGCCTTTGAGCCTGCCGTGTCGATGCCGCCGCCGTCGCAGTTAAGCGAAGCTATGACTGCTAGGTCGCTTCAAGGGCGCGCAAGGCGGATGGCTTCAACGACTCCGTCCTCACTGGAGCGTCCCGCGAGCGCTACGCCAGGCCAGCGCCGCCGATCGCATCATCGATGCGATACGATCCATAAATATACCGGTGAGATCTAACGAGTCTTATTATATTTCTAATTTTGATCCGAGTGTATATGACATAGAGACATGGTGTGAAGAAGTAGACCGTGCTAAGTCATCTAATAATTGGAGTGATCACGAATGTCTTTTGTTTTTTATCACAAAGTATTTTGCTCCACCTAGAGATTCGGTTCTCATTGGTCCAACCACGTCCGAATGGACAATCATTAATTTGGTGTTACATGGGCCTCTCGTCTTCAAGAACGGAAGTGTAGTCATTTTTCCCTTCGTACATATTTCACAGTCATATAATACATTCATATCCTCTGTCTTAACTTCGAATCCGTAAGTATTCAGTAATTTCACAAGATCTCGTGCATTCAAATGACCCATACGCTCATGCCACAAACGTATATCCACATTCATAGCAACTAATGCGTCGTTTATTCTATTCTTTACTTCTCTCACTCTGTATAAGTTACCCACATGATCGGCTGTCATTTTGACAATGCCCTTTTTAGCAGTGACATAAGCAACGCCACGTTTAAAAAGAACATTATGATCATTGTCAGTTATTTTGGCAACTGAATTTAAATTACTTCTTAAATTGGGAACGTACAAAGTATCGCGAAGCATAATGCTGAGCAAAAAGCTGATGTTTTCTTCTGAGAAGATTTCCAAGAACCATGTGGTAATTACATTGTGTTTTTTAGTACAATAGTACTATATTTTGTTGTTTGACTATTATTCTATATCACTACATATCAAATAAAGTATCAATGACTACACTTTATATTTTATGTACGTAAATAAATCTTATTCCATATTTACGTTAAAATGTTGCTAAATGTTTTTATATTAGTAATTACTTAGGAAAAGTCAATGAAATTAAATTGTATAGAAGTTCTTAATAACATAAAAGGTAATGCTTCATAAAACAGAATGAAGCCAAATTTCCATTACATATATCTTAAACGATAGGGAATATTCTTACACTGTTTTGGAAGTTTTTTTTGGAGTCGTAACTTAAGTTGAAAAAAAAAACGAAGAAAACTACATAGGGTAAGTTAAGTTTGGAACAATAGAAAAGCGCAGGATAAGTAAAGCTAGGTTTATAACATGTAATAAAACACCAAAAGCAAAGTGGAAAGGTTAGGTTTGGAACATTTTTAATACCATAAAAAAACATCGAAAAAGCGAAAATATTTTCTATTATAACATGTGATTTTATAAAATTTGTGAGTGTCAGCATACCTGTTACAAAACTGAAAACATATGAAACAATTTTATTATCTCAATGAAATAAATTAAGACCCCGAAAAAAATCTTCATAGCAATATATTCATCTTCAGCAATAATACTCATGATGATCATTTCCTAAAGTTTAAAATTGATTTTACGAAGACTTGGTTTGATTCGCTGTTGTAAAGTTGTACCAAATAAAATTATTATTCAAATATTAAAAGACTTTGTTTATTGTTGTGTTTGGGTTGGACTTTAAAATGGGAGTGTACTTTCCAATCACAAATTGACCGAAATTTATTATTAAAAAGTACACATCTTTAGGTTTGTTTATAATAAAATTATGAATAACATCAACAATATGTGATCTTATAAAAATAAAGATATCTGTAATAGTTTATTTTTCTAAATAAACTAAGTTACCAGCAGTTACATCCAACCTCTGAAGTTTCTGTAACTTATTAAATTATAAGAATAAGCTTTGTATTGAACATTGTATGAACAACTTATCAATTTTTAATACTTTCTGTTTTTAGGTGTGAAACAATTAAAAAGCAGTACAAAACATAACCTATGGATTCACAGAAATAGAATTTGAATAGAATAAAATTTTACATTCTATTCATATTTAAAAGAACTAAATGTCAAACTAGAAATTACGACCTTTTGCTGATTTGCTGAAAAGTAAATTTACAACAAAAATTGATGAAAATAACATAAAAGTAAGAACAAGACATATGCCAAATTCTACATGGTAAGTGGTAAATATTAAGTAATTCCCAAAGCACATATTTCCAGCAATTATTTGAACAATTTTAACCTTTTAAATTGGCTTGATATTTAGTATAAAATGGTTTGCTCCAAACATGAAAAAGATTCAATAATAAAAATTAACTTAAACATTATTTAGGTCGTGTGTAGAATATCTCTCTGTTATTGTTTCAAATATTGTAGATCAAACTAAATTGGTCATGTCATGACAAGTTTTTCAAACTAATTTGATTTTTGATTCTATCATAGACATTTCACAAAAATGGGCAGACAATAAAAGTTCCAAAAAATCTGTACCTGTAGAAAACTAATCATCATTTTTACATGGTTTGTGAGTTCCATCATTGTAGAGAATTGAATTTCAAAGAAGTTTTGTAAGTAAATGGGGAGAAATCTATATAATCAAAGAAAACCAGTTTTTTTTAATAAGGTATGTAATTAGGTGAAAAGCAATAATTAAATTGATTATGTTGTAGACTTTAATCAATTAATTACCATTTCATACTGTTGCAGATGAATGATTGCACCTCTTCAAGTTCTACAGAATTATTAAATGAAGGAATCTGCTTCAGAATTACTGACTGCATGTCGCTGCAACATCTGTGCTACAAAGTTTGATTGTTTGAAATATTGTAATTCTAAATTAAATTTTGAAAAATAACTTTTTATATGGAGTAGTTAAACCACAAATCTAAAAAAGAGTCACCATGGTGCAGGAAATGCTAGTAATTATATTAATGTCAATATTGATATATAGGTGTGTAACCTGTAGATTTAGTGTTTTATATTAGTTTGATGTTAATATGAATGATGCCTCCTAAGCTCATTATTTTTCCTAGTTAAGAAGTCTATAGGTTACACATCTATGGAGAATAGTAATAACAAAAGAGTTAATATGTGGAATCTTTAGGTTCATGATAATTTTATGAATTCATTTGAGAAGTAAAACTTAAATATTGTATTCTATTTTTACATTACATAATATTTAACATGACTTGTACATTTGCAATGTTTTGATAGGAAAAGTTTGGATTAGGGGACTATTTGGAGAGTCTGCAGTGCAGTTGGCGCTTGACCGGATCATATTTTACATATCCAGGTATGATCTCCGCTATATAGTAATGCGTTCTTCGAATTTCTTGATAACATCCATCCGACATTCTTACTGTAATTACAAATTGCATACAACTGCATAGAAATTCAAAGATATGTGTGAAGTCAACCAACCCTCACTGGCTCTGCGTTGTTGAATAAAACCTAGTCGCATTCTTGAGGGTAGGCTCAGAGCTCCTCAGTAAAGTATAGTGTCTGCGTATAGTGAGCTTGATGATGACGATTTGTTTTGCTTCAATGCATATTGTCTTGTTAGCAATTTTCTAAATGTTTTACCAACAGATAGGAGCTAATCTCTTTCCAGTGTTATTCTATTTCTCCCGACGAGAGTGACGCTACTACTCCAGTTCTATCAGAAAATATGACCTATCAAATAAACAAACTGGAACAAATAAGCATTATCAAAGTTGGGGTATTTTGTTGGTGAACTAAACAATAATGGTATTATTACGAAAGCAGTGATCATTATGTTGCGTTCTTAAAATATGTTCGCTTTAGTCAGAAGATTAAAGTTGCAATTAACGAAATTGTTTTATTTTTCCAAAATTGTTTTCCCTCGAATAATAATTTCAAACGTCAAAAAGGAAACTGACAGATTGATTTTTTAGGTTGGTAGCAACGTAGACTTGTTCATAATATTGCTAGCATTGAAAATGACAATTTTTATTCTCCGTTTGTGTTTCTAATTAGTCAAGAGTCCCGTCTCTTATTTTATATACTCTTTGGTCTTGTAATACTTATTTTTATTCGCGTACATAGCTCATTGTATTTCAATATTATTATTATTCTGTCGCCTCGAGCTATCCTCTTCCAAAATTTTTATTTTTAATATTTACACCGTAGGTAAATCATCACGGGATTCCATTGCGCATCTAAAGTTGTTGTAACTCGCTGGTAAACTATATAGCAATAATATTGACAACAAATCCTTATGTATTTCGATTCCAATATCGTTCAGTTTGTCTACAGCGTCCACAAAATTTGAAATATGTTCACGCACATCCTCGCCTTCTTGCATACGGTGTAAAGTTAACTGCTTTAATAAAATTGCTTTACGTGCAGGTCCCTTTGATGCATATATAGACTCTAGTTTCAACCACACATCCCGTGCAGTCACGCACCTTCTTACGTGCTTTAACTCACTCGGACTAATTGATAAAATCAGATCTGCCTTCGCCTTTTCGTCTGCAGCTAACCATTCATCTGTCAATTTTTCATTTCCTGGTGTGGAACAAGGTCTTACATTTCTTCCACTAACGTATTGCCAACCTTCCGTTTTCGTTAACAATGTTTGTACTTGTATTTTCAACGTTTCATAATTATCTTTGTCCAGTAACTCTATTCGCACCGACTGAGCCATAATTATAAAAACGTTTTATATTTACTAGGTTTTGTGCTGGGCTGGGCCCATAACCTGATGAATAACACAAGTTTACTTGGGAAAATTTATTTATGAAAGACAATGAAAAATATTTGACGTATGACAGATGTACACTTTTCTTATCATAAACTAAAACCAGCCAGTGCACATCTCAGCAGATTACAAACTCCAACAAATAATTTTGTTAAGTTTTGAACCGGCGACTGCTATCCTTAATCTACAGCTTGTCCTAAGACAAAGGCCTCCTCTATATTTTGTTAGAAAGCTATAGAATTATTGAAAAATAAAATCTTACTAATATTATAAATGCGAATGTTTAGATGGATGGATGTTTGAAGGTATATCTAGAACGGCTAAACGGGACTTAATGAAATTTGGCATACATATAGAACATAGCCTGAAGGAACATATAGGCTACTAAATATGTTTTTTTTAATACCGCGCGGACGGAGTCGCGGGTGACCGCTAATAAAATAAAGGAATAACTTAATTGAAAAAGGTTTATTGAAAGACACAACTACATTCTTCTACATTCATTTAACAGTGGTAGAGCCCGTTTTAATATCTTCGCAAGAATTGGTCCGGCTTACCCGGTGAAATACCACGACCACACAAAAGACAGGCGTGAAGTGGAAGTAATTCCGCGTTTCGTCTGATGAGTGTGCGTTCCGGTTTACTGTAAATTTTTTCCTTGACAGATACCAGAGTACCTACATTATTTGCAACATTTTTAACGATTCCATCACGAATTTATGTAAGTAAATATACAAAATTATGTATCTAAGATGTATTTAAAAAGTATTGCTCATTGTAGTAATTTAAATTGTTGAAAAGAAAATTTTTCTCGCATACTTATGTATTAGCTGTCACCCGCGACTCCTTCCGCGCGAAATTAAAAAAAACTTAATAAGTAACCTATGTATTCTTCGATGTTCTACATCTATGATAAGTTTCAGCGAGATCAATTCAGCTGTTTATATGGGGAAAAAGAAAAGGGCTGTTTTTACGGTTTTCTCGTCAATTATTCGATTTTTTATCTACTTCTAAACCTTCTCTAGACCTCCATGAACATTTCAAGACCAAGATAAGATAAATCCGTCCAGCCGTTCTCGAGTTTTAGTAACACTAACGAACAGCAATTGATTTTTATATATATAAAGCAAGAAGAAACAGAATCATTGTATTTGGTTTAAATATGTACGTACTGTAATACTAAATATTCTTATGTAGTTATTGATAAAGAAAAAGCAGGTAATACGGCTTATAATATTTAATATTTCTCTTTATACATGATTAAAATATTTTAAAGATCTAACATAAAGCTACTTTTAAACATAAAATTAAACACAAATAATAATCTTGATATAAAAGTCTTTTGTAACTTTTAATTTGGTAACCATTACTACAGACATCTCCAACACGAAACAAGACACAAGATTTCTTTAAATATCTTCTTATGTCTTCCTGAACACCTTAGGTGCCATGTATATATCTTATACAGACATGCACATTTTTATATTTAAACACATCTCAACAAAAAAAAATGAGTTTTTTATACGGTCACTTATGGTTTGGCACTGCGGGTGTTAAATCGTCTCCATTTTCTAAATCTTTTTTAATTTTATCCCCTTCAAAGTACTCCTGTATTTCTCTAAATGTTTTCCCTTTCGTTTCAGGTACGCAGTAATATATAAATATACAAGTAATCAAACAGCAACCACTGAACAACCAGTAAGTAATCGCTGGACCTAACACAATGGTAAGCGTCGAGAAATACTTAGTCGTTATAAAGACAGACAATGTGTTGATTATCAAACTTATAGACACGCCAAAAGCTCTCGCCGGACCATCGAATAATTCCGCAACTAGAAGCCAAATTAGTGACCCCATTCCTGAAAAAGATTTAAATTAATTGAATGTCATACAATTTCTATGTGTTCTAATCTAGCATAGTAACCTTTAACCGCAAATAAATCTACAAATTCGATTTGTCTTGATATTTACCTGCGCTATAACAATATACAACAAGGATAAGTGATATTAAAGGCAAGTAATTCAAGAATCCTTGAACTTCAGTATCCTCTCTCAATTTAAAGAACGCACCCAATCCAACCTGAAAAAAAAAATATTTTAACCAATCCAACTAAGCGCTAGGCTTGTTATATGATTTAACACAACAGTTCAATGTCGGCAATCGAACCCACGACCGATGTTCGGTAGCATGTTAGTCCGAGGCTTTAACCAATAAATTACATTCGGAGAATAATTACACTAGCCTTTCCCTTCTCACCCTTTTCTTATGAGGAAAGGGAATTTTACCTAGAAGGTGACGCAGAGAAAGGGTAAATATTTGTACTCTTTCTGTATGTCCCTTGCACCGTTGATTAATCGGCAATTGTATTCACAAGTACATGCCGTAGAGAGAGGGCGTCAGTCGATGTCAGACCTTTGGACCGGCAGCACGTGTCGGTACGTAAACAAGCCAAATATAACACAACGAATCCTATACGGATGTCTATGGGCAGCGGTCGTTACGCCTTTTCCTCCAATTCATGTGGCCGCTTACCAGTTTGCCTCTTATAATATAAAAAACACTTGATAGAGTTTAAATATAAGTTTAATATATCTATACTTACCAAACCAATAAGCATTCCTATCAACGAAGATATTAATATCTGTTTCCTTTTGAACCTATCCATCATAACAGTGGTACAGAAGCTCGCAAAGACTTGTATTACACCAATTACAACGGAAGCCATTTCTGGCTTAACCTTCGTCCTTGTTGATACAAGAATAGTTTGCAAATAAAGTGATACAGCGTTGAACCCAACTAGCTGTGATCCAGCACATAAAATCATAGCTACAGCCAGACATTTTAGGACAACTTTATTCTTTAATAATGAAATTTTGTCAACTTTATTTTCCGTCGATAACGCGTAACTTGCTATCTCCTCTTTTGCCAGTTGGTCGTTACCGCGAAGAACTTTTAATACGTTATAAGCTTCATTTGTTTTACCTGGAAGCGAATTAAAAATAGAAGACTATCAATATATTTCTTCACCTCACTGATCTATACATGGATAGGCTATAAAGCTATTTATTTCTATTTGATTTCCGCCATTTTGGCGCTGACGGTTGCGGTTGGTAGCATTGACGATTCAAACTAAAAATAGAAATGGAACTGTCAGGATCTTCAAACAGCCACATTTAAGTCGGAAAAAACAAAAGCTATCGTTCCCTAACAATTAGCAATGATCCACCTGAATCTATATTTTCTAACCGAGAATTTCCATAGCTTTGACACCTTAGTAAAATATTGTTATCCTTGCTTTTTCAAATAGAATAAAACGGATGAAACTGTTTGTGGAAAGAAAGAATACACTAACTCGTTTCAAAGACCTTGTAAAGTATAATATGAAACATATTCCTTAATAAACCTTACCTTTTGAATACAAAAAGAACGGACTGTCAGGCATAAACAGCAGCGGTATACTAACAATTATATTAATAATAGCAAATACAATATTAAATGTAGTATACGATGTGTATGGTCCCACGGACAATGTTATCACAATTCCCAAGGATGAGAATATCTGTAGAAAAGTGCCGAGAGAACCTCGCATTTCTTTCTGTAAAAAGAAAATGACATAGTTATCAAAATGTGAACATTCTTACAGCAATGGCTTGCAGCAATCGTAATCATTGTAACTGCCACCAAGAAGTTTAAAGCCCGCTACACACGTCCAGTTAAAACTTTGCAGTTTAAACTGAAGCATGACAGGCTTAATAGCAAAGGTTGTGCTTATTTAAGGTTTAGTGTGAAAATTTTGCGCCTAAGAGCTAATTAAGTAAACAATTTTGAGTACAACAATAGGAATAGATGCTGTTATTTATAAGTAGTCACATAACAATGGGGGTCCCTCGTTTTTCGACTTAAAATATTTTGTTTTTATCTTATTTCTTACTAATCTTACTAATATTATAAATGTGAATGTTTAGATGGATAGATGTTTCTTTGAATGTATCTCCACAACGGCTGAACGGATCGCAATGAAATTTGGCATACATATAGAACACAGTCTGGAAGATCACACAGACTATGTTTTTTATTCGCGCGGACAGAGTCGCGGGCGACAGCTAATATCAAAATAACTTTAAAACTTACACTGGCAATTTCTGAAGAGTAAATAGGCACAACAGTGAATACAAAAGAATCAGTTGCACCGATGATTGCTCGACCCAGAATTAACATCCACACATCAGAAACAAATATGTATATAATACTGACAATGATCTTTGGAATACAAGCTAATATCGCGCAATACTTTCTTCCGATACTGTCTATTAACATGCCTAAAGGGATATTCGCTGAAAGTAAAAAAAATAAGTTAGTACTTTTTTTTATATCATAAGGTGGCAAACGAGTGAGCGGCCACCTGAAATCGCTGAAGTAGCGAAGTGACCGTTGCCCATAGACATACGTAATTGCATATGCGTTGCCTACCTTTAATCGACGGAGGAGAGGATGCACAGAAATAAAATATTTTCCCTTACCGTGCATCCTCTCATCCGGAAAGTCCACTTCCACTTCCCATCCTTTCCTTATAAGAAAAGGGTGGGAAGGGAAAGAGGACTAAATTAGGCCTCCGGGACGCAAAACATTATTTATATAATATGAAATATTTAATGGTATAACGCTTAACCCTTAAATGGACGATTTTTTTTTTACGTTTTAAAAAAATATATTTGTGTAATAGACATCTATTACTGTCTAGGAAAAATGAGTAAAAAAATCTAGACATGAAGTACAAAATTCGTTCAGAAATAAGAACTAGTTGTCAAAATTAACAAAAAAATAAAATAAAGATAATTTTATCTGTGATGTTTAGTATGTTGTTTAAAAACAACATTGTCCATTTAAGGGTTAAGGAAAATCTCGTGATGCAACCAGCAAATATCTGCAAAGAAATTCAAAGATATTTGTGAAGTTAACACGCACTGGGCCAGCATTTACAATGACCTTGTCACCCCTAACTTAGTTTAGGCTCCGAGCACCTCAGTGGGGACGTATAGTGACCTGATGATGATACTACTTTAGAATAATCTTGATGTAAGATGTTAAGGCAAATAAAGAATTTCAAAATCTAAGTACCTGCATATTCAAAATATTTGTTGAAGTTGAAACAAAACATAAAGATGTAAAGCCAGATATTTTTTTGTATTTAAAAAAAAACATTAGACATTTCACAATAAGTGCCAGTTGTTTTTTTTCTGAATTTAAAAAAAAAAGTTTTCATTAGGTATATAAACCTTATTCGTTGACCCATGTAGTGTAGGATAAGGCCAGAGATATGATGAAATACTCACTGAACATGGTGCATAAAAATCCTATAGATACGATCCATGATCCCTCTTCCTCTGTAATTGTTCGGTATAAAGGTGTCTCCGTGGCATTGGTGAGTTTGACCAACATTGGCGAAGGCCATGCGACACTCATGCCAGTTGTCAGCACGCTTAAATTTACTGCAAAGATAAATTATAAACTAACTGTTGTTCTTATCTTATGTTGATTTTAAACTATGTACCTGATTAGTAGTAGAAACTGTTTACTATTTGTGATTACAAAGTAATTTATTACTCAATTAAAAGTCAAAGAAATTTAAAACAGACGAACAATTTTTTCGATGTTTTTTTTATTTATAAAATATTGCACTACAAATATAAAATGATTTGTAGTGCAAAAGTAATAGGGCGTTGCACTAAATTACGTTTTAGTTTCTTTGAGATATTTATTTATAGATAAAACTGGAAACAAAACCGGAAATGAAAACTGCAACCCAGTATGAAGATAGGCAAAACTAGTCTATAACTAGTTTTTAATTAATATACACGATGAAACACAGGATTTAATTATGTTAATCCAACAAAACAACGTTTGTAGAAAATAGAAACACATTTGAATAATAAGAGACAACAAAAAAAAATTAGTGTTAAAAATAAAATTAAATCAAAATAATAATATCTTTTTTTTTATTTATTTTAACATAATATCAAAAGTCTAAACCGGTTCTTCTGTGAGTTCTCATATATTTCTAAGCGTGTTTTACAATTATTTAATTTATTTAATATAGTTAAACGAAGATTAATATAAATTAGTCAGCTTTAGTGTGGGAAAATTGTCTTAATATCTCATTTACTTAGCAAATTATTTCCATAACATGGCTATTATTAGAATATTTACGTATTTTAAAATAGATGAATAATTTTTATGACTGTTTTGTATTTAAAATGGAATTTTCTGAGAATAATTAAATTTGAGAATGTAGTTAAAGTATTCCTTCGTTAATGACTAATTTAAAACTAGCTGTTTGCTGCGACTTCGTCAGCGGTGAATTAAAAACAAAAAAAAACTGTTACTCCTGCACACATAAACTACTACTTTACACGAAAGTAAAAGTCCCGTCAAAATTAGTCCATCATTTCCGAGATTACCCGGAACATGCGGAGAGACAGACAGACAAAAATTAAAGATTTGTTTTTCATTTTAATTTTATATTAGCTACTTCTTTAAAACATCGTGAGCGTGTAGTTTAAAAATTATAATTTGACTAGCTGTCGCCTGCGACTCCGTCCGCTTTAAAAACATAATGATGAGCCTCTGCGTTCTTACAGACTATGTTCTACATCTATACCATTTCAGCGAGATGCATGCAGCCGTTGCGGAGATCGTACCGTACGTATACGTTTGAACGTACGTCGTACATAGACGTACGTCCATGTACGTATCTTCAAACGTACATCCATCCATCTAAATATTCGCATCTATAATATTAGTAAGATATTACATACAGACATTCCATATCTATCAACTGTATAGATTTTTTTTACTACTATCGTGTTATAAATTCCTTTAACAATGCACGTGTTCGATGTTAGGCACATCCTGTGTTACATAACAGCGGTTACATTGTAGTCAAAGTAATTGACCCATACCTATTATGTAATATTACAAATGCAAAAGAATGTACAGATGGATGGATGTTTGTTAAAAAGAATCTACAGAACACCTCCAGGAATCTCATTGAAATTTGAAACAGACGTAGAACATTATATAGAAGAACACATGGTTCACTGAACGAAGTCGCTGGCGACAGCCAGTCTTACTATCTTTCTAATATTATATGTGCGAATGTTTGGATGTAGGGATAAATGTTTATTAGAAGGTATTTCTAAATCGGTTCAATAGATCTCGATGAAATTTAACGCAGATGTAGAACATAGTTTGGAATAACAGATAGGCTACAAAGTTTTTTTTTATCGCGCGGACAAAGTCACGGAAGACAACTAGTTATGTAATAAATGAAAATTAAAGCGCTCGTGTATCATTCTTGCTTGAAGTCTATACAATTGTTATTGTATATTATATAACTGTAATTAATATCACGTTTTTCTTTATTACAATCGTATTATAATCTATGTGAAAAAATTATTAAAATATTTTATTTTGATGTCAAGGAAAACTAGGAAAATATTTATTATGAAAACATTTGATTACCAAAATATAAGGACTTAATTTTAGTGGTGGTCTAAGGTTTCAAAGTCGTATCAATAACTTCGTCATCATCATCAACCTGCCTTTATCCCTATCGAGGGTCGTTACAGTATGTACTACTCCTCCATACATCTCTATCAGACGTCATATCCGACGTGTCAATAACTTCGTAAGTAATTATATTTAGCAGAATACTAAAAATGCAGAGGGAAACTTATTATTTTACATCGTACATTTCACCGTTTGATTAAAATTCTTACTGGCCATTGGAATAAAATAAAAGTAAGCGTGTATAAGTAAAAGGCTAGTAAATTAAACTTATTGTCACTTTTGACGCTAATTATTGAAGTTGTAAATCCATTATTTCCTCTTCCAGGCCACATACTATTGTGCTTTGAATAACCGAAATTGATTTTATTTTATTTCTTTTGGTTTTCAGTTTACGTAGATTTTTATTTTATATTCGAAATTCCTTTTAATGGCATTACGTATATTCGCGTGCATCCTCCCTAAACGGCCTGATAATGTATAAATAGCTGTCACCCACGACTACGTCCTCGCGGAATTAAAAAAAAAACAAAATTATTAGTCTATGTGTTCTTCCAGACTATGTATGCCAAATTTCATTTCGATCCGTTCAGCCGTTCTGGAGATAGCTTCAAACAAATATCCATCCATCTAAACATTCGCATTTATAATATTAGTAAGATATACCCGGAAAGTGTTACTTCGGAAGTTATATTTTACATTTGAGGAATAACGAATGACTGCCTTATAGATGTGATTGATTTCCGTATAAGAAACATAGAAGGAAACATGTCCAAATCCTGATAAGCGTCTTGGTCGTAAATTGTAAATACAAACTTTCATTTATTTCCTTCTTTCTGAACTTTGCATCTTTTAAAATATTTAAGTGCTTAATTTTTAGGTTATTAGAGAAGACAATGTTAAAGATGACTTTAAAAAAATAAATTTGTTTTTTAATTTGGAAACGTCGCTCGGAAAGAATTACCAAGTGAATATGACGAACAGACTCAATTAAAGAAAAAACATAAATTAAATATACAATTTGTCATATTTTATTCTGATATATTATAATGTAAACATACCGAAAATCACAACTGCATATTGTCGTAAAACTCCCGGTTCGGCGGAAAAGAAAAATTTCTGAGAAAACAACATTTTTGAATCACATATAAAACCTTTTTACACATAAATAAAATATCAATCAAAATGTTAATATTTTTTTTTATTTTACACTAAACCAGCCAGCACGCAATTTTTAACGAGCGACACTTCTGTACGCAACAAGAAATATTCAACATTGCAACAGACTCGGCTAGCCCTTTCACTAGTACCGTGAATTCTCACTGCAAAAATATACGAATAAAAACATATTGTTATCTCAGTTATTTCAAGGAGAATGAGCGGGATGACATGTTTTTGTACGACTGTTTCGTAGCAGCCCCCAGTTATTTACTAGTAGTGGTCATCATACCGCGTTAGTACGTCAATGATTCTCCCACCAAATAATGTATTAAGTTATTAGAATGGAGCAAAGATTTAGTGTTTGAAGTTCAAGGATAACATATTTTAATAGTCATCCGCGGAACGAAACATATCATATAGTATTATTAAAAAATCTACAAATGTCATTCAGTCCACAATTTATATTTATTTAAAAAATTGCTTTTGCTCTGGACTGACTGCATGCAATTTATAAAAATTGTCTATGTTATTGTCGCGTGCTTAAATTACTTTCTATTAAAAGTACCTTCAAAATAGGTCAATTGAAACCCACAGTTATGACATTTTTGACGGCCAAAAATTTTGGTTCCATGCACTTCTCATTCTTTCCTCAAACCTTATTAAGTAGAAACCTTCTAGACCTAGTATTCGAATGAGATGACCTTAAAAAACTTTAAAACCTTTGCACGTACAATCAACAAGATAAATAGGCTGAATTATTATAGAATAATTTCTTTACTTATATTTTTGTAAACAAACATATCTTTGTTATATTATTGTGTGTATTTGTGTAGAAATTATTCAACCAGATACCAACGCCAATAAGGATTTAGAAATAATAGAGTAATAGACTATTTTTTTATGTTATAAGGTGACAAACGAGCCAGCGACCACCTGAATTCCCCGAAACAGCGAAGAGACCATTACCCATAGACACCGATTTAATCGATGGAGAAGGAAACGCATGTAAACTGTTGCATAGAAATTATGTGTGTCAGTGACATATTCAACACTACGTTTAATCTGAGATTAAACGTTGTTAACTGATAATGTTTAATATTAAGATTCTTTAACATTTGAACAATCTAAAATATAATCCATAGATATTAAAGGCCAAGAGTTGTATCCTTGAAATTTCATCAAGGTAGTAAGTAAACTATGAAGAAATAATTTATCTTGCGTTTATCGTAATAATCGCATAGCACTCATAATAGACATAAGATACAACGTTTCTTTACGCAAATAAATATTACTCTTAACAGAAATTAAAAATCAAATAGGTTGACATGATAGTGTAAAGAGAATTAGGCCTACGTTTATATTCGCGCTCTTTTTCAAAGACTCTTTCCCGCAATCAATCAATCGTTCAAAAGTTATACTTCAATGATGGCGTGTTAAGTGAAACAATTTTGAGTTTTACACCAAAATTGCCGAACTTTTTAGTCTCAATATGATAAAATTTATATAATAAGTATTATAGAAGTAACCATTTGTTATTTATATACGTTTTGAAAGCTATTAAGTGCTATTAAGTATCGCCGTTACAACTCAACTTTTTTAAACGGTGGCCTCATCTGTCAATGTCAAATTTGTTCTGTTTTTCTGTCTTTGTTGATAAATAAGTAATTTCTTCTTATAACAAAAAAAATACAATTTTACAACTATAATTAAACGCAAAATGGATGACGATGATTACTGGAATACCAGCGAAACAAAGGAAAAAGCATTTAGTTTTGATGACGATGTAGTAAGTAATTTTTGATTCAAAACTTTTAATTTTAATATAAGTTATGTTAACCATTTTCTCTTATGGTCTCTTACGCTATGTGTTTTCAGCTTTCGCCGCAAGAGATATTAGCCATTGGACAAAAGCCGTATTCAGGTTCTGGTGAAGAAGGAATACTCAATTCAAATATTAGCAATATTAAACAAGCTTTAGTACCAATATCAAGTTTGGTATCATCCAAAATTTTAGACCTATGTAAGACTCGCATTTTCATTCATTCCAACTATTTTTAACACTTCCAGTGCAACATATCCTAGTTCACTTTAAGATGTGAAAATGTACCTTAACTTTAACTGACATTGCTAATATTTATATAAAAAGCGTCATCATCCTGTGTCAGTCCACTGCAGGCCAGCACCAATGCCTACTACTGCTCTCATCCAACATCTTCCTGTCATTTCCACCGCATTGACCCACCTGGAAGGCCCGTATCTTAATTAAAAATTTGTCCAAACAGTGGTACTTGCTCAATCTGGAAAAGATCTAAAGGAGACGAAATCAGAACCAGAGGAAACAGTTGCTATAACATTGAAGAGACTTGTTCTTGGACGCAGTTGCTCTCTACAAGTACACAGAAGTCTTAAGAGTAAAACTGAATTGTTAGATGGTGCGGTTGCTATTGGTGATGGTAATGCCATACTTACGGTCAGTATTACAAACATTAACACAGTAGCTAATTACAAATAGAATAGGGTTGTCAATTTGATGTTATTCCTCTTTTATTCATTCTTATGTAATCCACTGCTCTCTCAATATTATAGACTCATTTTTTTAGTCTGTATACAATTTAGAGTGACAAGCTCAGAGGCTAAACACTTGACTTGCAATCTGCAAGTCCTAGGTCGTATATACGTGAGTGTTTAGCCGTGTTTATATATCAGTTTAAGTCCTAGGTTCGATTCACGCCATTTACCAATGTGATTTTCGATTTACATATGAATTATATTCATCTGTCGTTTTGACAGTGAAATTAAACACTGTGATGTAACTTGCATATATCTGAGAAGAGATTGAAAGATATGTGTGAAGTCAACTCACACGTGGCCAGGGTGGTTGACTATGGCCTAGTCACCCCTAACTTAGGTTAGGCTCCGAGCCGCTTTTGTATGGACATATAGTGAGCTGATATTGATAGAATTTTGACCTTTGTCTGTATTGTTTCAGGTTGTATTATTTCTTATACAAACATTAAACAAGAAACTTGTCTATGAATTATTGTCATCAAGGCCATTAGCACTCAGTCATTATATTGGTAATCTTCAATCGGAGGGAAAGATATCTGAACTAACAGACTTGTTAACGTAAGTGCTTTATATTTATTATTATTTTATTGAAATCTTACTAATATTATAAACGCAAATGTTTAGATGGATGGATGTTTGTTTCTTATCTTCGGAACAGCTCAAAGGATCTTGATGAAATTTGGCACATATGTAGATCATAGTCTAGAAGAACACATAGGCTACTTATATTAAAATTCCGCGAGGATGGAATCGCGAGCGACAGTTAGTTATAAATATACAAAGAAATTAAAAATTAAATGTTTCAGAATGCTGGCTCGGAGTCCAGATTCAGCTGTAAGTATACAGTTTAATAAAGTTGAGAACAATCTTACATATACTTTGACCATATTATATATCAATTCTTCTAAGGTTTCAAGAATATGCTTAATAGGACTTAATAGATTAAAAAAAATCAAATGTTTTGTTAACAGATTTATCAATTTCAACACACTGTAAAGAACCAAGGTAGCAATGTGGACGGCTTGCTACGGAAAACTAACAACTTGTTAGCAAATCACTTCAATCAGCCCGGTGTTGATGCACACCAAGCCAAGATGGTTGCAGATTACATTAAATTACTAGGTTGCTTAGTTATTTCACAGCAAATAATAATTTTATGGAGTTCTATTTAGTTCGTTTTTTCTCTATTTATTGTAAAAATGGTAAACAAGCAAATGGCTTATTTAATTTGCTAAAATAGAGAATTGACCGTGCCCATAGACAACTAAGAAATGAAGTTATTTTCTTATCTGTAATTCTACCTAATCCTTATCCTGCTATAGACATAAAGGCTTGCCAACATCAGCAACATATTTTGTACAGTCCATTTTCACTTGGGTTAACAAAAAAATATATATTAGTCTATTTAGTATAATTTAAAAAGGCAAAATTCGAATCGTGTATCTCTTTCTATCTTGTCTATTTACGTTATTCTGTCTCTATTTCCAGAATGGCAGAGTTTAGCTAAGAAGAATGAACTGAATAACAAATCTGCGCTGGAATGTCTCGCGTACTGCTGCAAGTTGCATTGGTCGGAGGGAGCGGGGAACATGATGTCACCTCTCACTGTATGTCAGAGGCAACAGGTATGTTGACATATAACGTTGGTATAAAAGTACAGATTATTAAAAATAAAATTAAAAAAATAAAGCATCAAAGAAATATTTTGGCAATATCTATTTTACCGGATCTACTTATTCGATTTGAGAGCTACGAAGTTACAATAAGACATGGCTTAATGCACAATTTTTATTGAATAACTTATTAATAATAACTTGTATTAATAACTTTTTACTTAGCAGTTATTTCACTTTTACAATTTAATTAATTTGAAGCTTGTAGTTTATAAAAGTTATTTTTAATTGTTTTTTTTATTTTTGCTTTTCTTATTTTATTATTATGTTTGTTTCAGATCAGCCCACTTCAATATGAATGGGTGGTATTAAATGTACAAGCCAATTTGAACAAGTGGGATATTGTCGAATCTCTCTTCACAAAAAAGGTACCTGTCGCCTAAAGAAAGAGTAATGAGTTTGGTGTCATTTTATTCCTTTCCTTCCAGTGGGTTATTTGATTCTTTTATTAACAAATTAGCTGTCCTCTGCGACTCCGTCCGCTCAGAATAAACTAAAAACTTAATAAGTAGCCTATATGTTCTACATGTATGCCAAATTTCATCCATCCACAAACATCCATCCAGCTAAACATTCGCATTTATAATATTAGTAAGTTTTTGATTACTCTGTGTTTTCTACTTTTTCCCAGGACTGGCTTGGTCGTACCACTCTATCATCACACATTCCAGTAGAAAGTTTACTGGCGAGGTTAAGTGAGCTGCGCGCTGGCGGGCGGCTGCTTGCCACTGCGGTCAACACAGTTACCAATACTGAGGAAAGACTGAGACTCGCGCATAAGTACAAGGTGACATATCTGATTTGACTTTACGGCTTATGTTTGACTTGACAAAGGCATCAGTGGCTTGTTATAAAGTGACTTAACTTGTCTTTGACCTATGTGTGACTTGTCGTTAAGGTGACTTGTAACTGACTAGACTTTATGGTGACTTATATTTGACTTGTTGTGAGACATGAATATGACCCTATGAACCCCTTAGATAAACCAAAATGGTTTGTGACTTAAGAATAGTTATGTTCCAGATACACTCAGTGGTGATAGAAACTTTCGCTAAACAGAAAGATAGAGCAGCGCTAACGAACTATAAAATGACATTGAATCCTCAGTCTGAAGAATATATTTACGCAGAGAATACATTGAGAGAAAGTGTACGTATGTCTTAATTTAAAAACAAATTGATTTTTATGGTGTTACCAGTAAAAAAAATCATATAGTAATAGAAATAAATTATTAAATTACATGATCAATTTTAATAATATTTGTATTTTTTTCCAGTCTATAAAATGGAAGAATTAATTTGATTGTGCATATACAACAAATTGGAGGATCAAAATCCTAAAGCTTTGAGTTATTGGATTTTGAGCTTAAATTTTTATAAATACAAACAAGCACAAGCCTTTGTAGTTGCCAATTCCTTGGTTAAAATAATCTATATTAATTTCTAAAAATAAAACTTACTAAAAGTAAACTTTAATAAATTAAATTTATTTTGCATCTCTGGTGATTTTTCTTTCTTTTTCTTCTCGCAATCTTAACCCAATGCTCACCTAACGCTTGACCGTATTCCTATTATTGCCAGGGTAAAAACAAAACAATTATTTTCTTGTCTAATTTCTAGAAAAAAGTTTTTGAAAAGACTATGTCCAATAGGGCAGACAAAGGCTGATCTGATGGTGAAGATAAATATGCAACTCTGTTTAAAAGCTAGTTCAAAATAAAACAATGCGAACGTACAAAGCCGGTTTTAATAATCATCAGGATTACAGCAGTCACTGTCTTCTACACCACACAACTTTAGCAAGTAAACGCATAGAGTGATGCAAAGTAAACATCTTATACACCTCATACAACTTGGTCCGCAAATGCAACACATCGTCGCTTTGTTTCTGAATTATGTTCCGTTATATTCCTTTTAAATTCATTCATACACTAAAGTCAGAAACGCACAGAAAAAATCGAAATCCGTGAAAAAATTTTTGTATGTCCACTTAAAATCGTTTATTTTTTTATACAGTGTAGCACTAAAATTAACATCAATAGTTTTATTATTAAATTATATATCGTAATGTGACCACTGTGTTAGCCGAATTTCGGTAATAAACTTGATATTGATTTTAATATTTGGTAAATAATTTTTGACACTCAAATGTTATAATAAAAATCAAAGACAAGTGTCTTTTTATTTTTAATACGGAATTGTTTTTAGATATTAAATTAAATAGCAACAGCAAAAATTTGCGAATGTTATAGTCTGTTTAAATGAACATTTGTCTATGATTTTTAATCTGTTCGATCTGTTATCACTTCTCAATGACGTTTTGACATCTGTTTAAAATCGCGCCATTATTTTACCAAGCAGATTTATGAACTAAATAGTTATATATTAAAATGAATGTGAATTGCAGGTAAATTGAAGTGCTTATTAATAGTTTACTGAAGATTATTTGCAACGGAGAAATTTATAAGAAAAAATTGACGGTAAGCTACTACTATTTTTTATCCACTGGTAAACATTGACTACAATCTTTGTAAAGATTTAATTTATACTGTTTGAAATGAAGATCTCAATTTTATTACTTACTTTGCGACTCAAAGTGGTTCTTTCCCTCTGGCTGTCTCCGACACAAGTAATTGCCGGCACGAGAAATTTTAATAACAATCAAACATTTTGTACAATCGCGAAAGTAAATGAAATACAGATAGTATGTTTTGAGCATAAATACGAGGGATGTTGTTTCATAAATAATATATGTTTTTGTTATTGAGACCTAGTATAAAATTTAGATAACTATGTAAAGGTTCTTTCGTAGTCCTGGCCTTTAGCAGAACATGTTATGATTTATTGTATGTAGGTAGATAATATGAATATGTCGTGATGTCTGCAAGTCTCATCCCTGTTACGAAGGTCACCATGTTGAGAAAACTTAAACTCAAATTGAATTGTTACTTAACTATCGAAGACCTGGCATATTTTAGAAACAATGATAAAGAGTATAACTGTACTGTTCTACGTTTGTTGGATCATATACTTCTAAAATTACGTACGTTTTGAAATTAAAAATGCCTTCGATAATTAATACTACTGCAATTTAATTCTCTGTCGAAAATATCGTCGTCGATTTTGTCGTCGTCGCCGCATTTCTGGCAGCCGCAGACGCGGAAACATCCCAAACAGTAACCGATACAGTACATCCAATTTACGACCTTCTCCCAGAAGTTGCAACAACAGAAACAGCACATTGTCTTCAAACACCGACCATTCGATCATCGACTCCGCGTTTTACGTGACATCTCTTACGTATTTATAAATATATCCATAGAAAACTATTGGAATATATCATTTTCTAAATATCTTTTGTGCATATCAAAAAAATTGACATTGTCAAAACAATAAATGTCATCAAACAAAACAGAAGTTAGAACAGAAAAGGTAAAGGCGCTATCTTATTATTCTTGTCAAAGACAATTTAATTCCAACGAACCTGCACAGTCTTTAAAGCATAAATATATATCCGAAAATAAGGGTCCTATAAAAAGTTTATAATGAGTTCATCTCTGAACCGTAACCATGCTTCAACCGTTAGAAGCTATCTGATTGAATTAAACTTAACTATCCGTTTAAAGCCGCGTTGCGATTAATCGCCAATCTGTTGTGCGAATAAGTACTCTTTCCAACCGTCTTCTAACAGCAGATCCTTAATTCGTTACTATTTCGTTATATTTTTATCCGCGGCACACGACTGTCTTTAACTTCATTTGCGTCGTCTTCAAACAGGCGTTCTAACAACTCTTATTATGTATAACCATTAACTAAACATAATGTAATGGTAAATTAAATTTATTGACCTTTCAAAACCGGAGCAAATAGGTGCCTTATGGCAATCAAAATAAAATTATATATTTCACATATTCTTCGTGTCCTCTCTCCACGGGGAATAGAATCCAACCTCACGAAATAATTGTTCTTTATCGTCGCTGTCCAATTTTAAGGAAGACTGCAAAAAACAGGGCTTCTTAGATTTATGACTCGGTTAAAATACAATAACAAATAGAACTTAGGGGCCTTCAAGAAAAGAGCGTACAACTTCCTTAAAGGCCGGCAATGCATCTGCGGTTCCTCTCGCGTTGTGGATGTCATGGGCGTCGGATCAAATAATCTTAGGCGATTCGTTGCTCGTTTGCCCCCTTCTATAAACGAAAATAAAATTGAAAATTTCTATAGAAAAAAAGACGCTATCTGTTGTAGGATTTTGGATTAAAGGATTTAAACTTTATGGCGGCTGTGGTTAACGGTTAGCTCAAGGGTGACAGATGGGGCCACCGTGTGTAAAGAAAAAGGACGCAGCCTTTCGAAAATATGAGCCACAATAATGTTTGAATGGTACTATACATACTATAATATATAATACATGATATAATTACATCATAATAAGTTGCCATTATATATAAGCTGTCTTCGTCGTCGTCGTCGCATTTCTGACATCTGCACTGTACTCTGAAGCATCCCAAGTAAGAGCCGATACAGTACATCCAATTAACGACCTTCTCCCAAAAGCTGCAACAACAGCAACAGCACATTGTCCAAGGAAACCGAACATATGATTACCGACAACACAATCGGTCCGACATCTTACACTTTCACAAATATATCGGTACAAAACTATACAAATACATATATTTTCTAAAATTATGGATATCAAAAATTTGACAACGTCAAAAACTTCAACACAATAATAAAAACAGAAGTTATATAGAAGATAAAAACTACAGGTTTTACGGTGACATCAATGTTGTCTTTGAAATTGTACAGAATAGCAATTTTACGTAAATATAAATAAAAGTATTTTTATGTTTATCCACTATGCAACCTTGAACCACTGGACAGACTTTGATGAAACTTTGGTAGGATGTTTTTGGATTCATCGTGCCTGATGCCATAAATATCAGTCTTTTAATAAGTATACATTACCGGCACTTAATTTATACTAAGGCACTCCTTTAAAGGCTATCTCAATTCTATACAGTTACTTATAATAGTAAGGTAGTGTGTAATAAAGAAAATGCTTTACAAAGTCGAAATTATAGGTTGGCATGACAATAAAATGAAACAAAAAATTATTCAAGAGTATGTATTCATGTTTTCTTTGAATCTTGTCTCCACTGGGCATTGAATCCTGTGTCGCGGAACAACTGGTCTTGATCTTCGCTGTCTAACTTTAGGGAGGACTGCAAATAAAAGATTATTAAACTAGGGTAATTGTAGAGTAATTGGACCCTAAGGGTAGATTTAATCGAAGAAATCAAAGTTAACACATTACCAATAACACATATTAAAGGGAATCATTATAAATGTCCTAGTCCCTATTTGGTCTCATATCTGACTTTATTCCACTCTCACGCATATTATCTTTCTAACAATCCATATATACTTTCTTCGATTTTAAGGGAATATGCTTTAAATATAAGCTCTAATTACCTAAGGTTCTTTTAAAACTTTTTCAAATAGATAATATTCAATCGTGATTTTCCTAAATGTTTTAGAACATCAGACCAATGATTTTATAATCGTGAGTATGAATTTATAAGCTACCATTATGTCCACTTCAATATTCAATTATTAAATCTTCGCCTAATAGCAAATCATGTCTTCTATGTTTTGAAAACGTTCGGAAACTATCGTATCTTTCTTCCTTGTTCTGCCAAAATTTAATAAAACTTAATCAACTAAACTGTTTCGGGGCGTAACTATGAGTTTCCACACCTTGAAACATTTATACGAAAACATATCGTTAGCTCTGATTTTCTTAAAAGAAAGAGCGAGATAAAAATACGTTTTGGCATGAATGTTTTGAAAGTGAAAACATACAGTAATATGAATACTAACCGCTGTTGGTTTCATTGCTTTTTCAGGTACTTTGCTCAGCAGTGCGTTTGCTCCAGGCCTGTAAGTATAAGAATCCATCAAGCCGCTTTCAGAGAGTCAGAATTAAAAGCACAGAAGTAGCAAAATATACCTTTGTGGGCGTTCTCTTGTCGGCTTCCATCGTTGTCTCTCAGTCATTTCCTGCGAACAAACAATTTACAAATTACACAAAGCCTATTAAATCTGTTAATTACTTTATCACTGACGTCACCGTAATAGGTAAGTCCTTGAAACTTTTGGCTCCATAATACATTATTTACGGGTAACCTGCCCATTGAATATTAAATTTGCCTTCTCTCTCTATAGCTAAGAACCAAGTAGCTAATTTATGTTTAAGGATATTTCTAATAAAACCTACTGGCGTTGTGGTGTCCTCCATCCTAGTCGCATGGTAGAGGTCATCATTCATCACTTCCTCTTCAGGGTTAGATTTCATTTTTCTGATCTTCGCAGTCGTCATTTCTTCTCCACTCTCCCAGCTCTCGTTACTAAAGAAACATCGATTTACTTGTATTAAATAGTTTATAAAGTAAAAAAGTCTAACAGTGCGTTTAATATTTTTTTCCACTGAAAGTGGAAACCCATCGTTAAAATAACTTACGGGAAATTAACTGGTGTGGTTGAACGTGATCGCCAGTCAAACATTTTGTTTAACGTCACCTTTTCTTTCTTGTTGTCTACTAGTTCGCGTTGTAATTTGTCAACAATCGTTGTGGTCACTTTCTCTGGAGCTAGAAGAAAAGAAAATTTCTAAATATGTATGTCAAAGGTAAAGTAGCTGTAGTAATACTCGGGAATTAGGTTGCCAAAGAGCTAGAAACGCATATCTCTCCGCTTACGCTCCTCAATTCTTGAAAAAAAAAATATCTGATTTACCTTTGAAAGCCTGTATAGGACTTTCTTCATCTGGATCCAAACTAAAGTCCTCCTTATCAATGAGCCTCTCGTACTGATCTGGGCGGTGTTTCTTCTCTAACCTGGCTGGCAACGGCCTAAGTGAAGTCCGTCTCTCCTTAGTCGTCGTCATTCCCTCGTCGTATACGTCCGGGTCATCCTTCTCTATGTCGTCGTACTGCGTATCATCGTTCTTGTCCCCTGGTTCGTCAGGCTCAGCTAGATGATGACGCACCTGTTACAAAGGTAACGCCGCGCAATTATTATATGCAAAACAGAAGTTACCAACGAAATGCAATCTAGAAACTGCTGCGCATTCAGTATGAAGCTTATTAATTATATAAAGTTGTGGTACCAAGTCTCCGATTAAAGAACACGAAGAACACAAAACGAATCTATGTGTACCATCTCCTTAAAGTCCGGCAACGCATCTGCTGTTACCTCTAGTCTTACGCAGGTAAATGGGCGTGATTGACCACCTCAATATTCATGGCGCTTGTTTGCGCCCTTCTCTATAAAAAAAATATTTACCGGTCCACAAAGCAAAGGATACGGGGACCTTGATCTTCTTGCGGTGTGCATGGGGCAGGGTGCCATAGGACCGGGTGTCAGCGTGCGCTGGCCGAGCATGTTGGTGTGTGAGAAATCACAGACGAGCAGGAGCCGTGGATGTTCCGCGCCGTGTCGTACCGCACCGCAGCCAACCGCTTGTAGCGTCCACACTGCGATTTGACTGAAGTGACCCCACACTGTTCCCCTGCAAAAAGAATTAGCAAAAGTTGCGAGATAACACTTGAGATAGTTGTACATGACTATGAACAGCAGTCGTCAAGTATCATAACTCGATTAGATTTCGTCGTCTTCTACTCCCAATTTATTGGTGTACTGTCACATTCAAAGTTAAATGGTCGTCATGGACCACCTTTAACGTGGGATTAGTATGAAATTTGACGTCTTTTAGTGGAGCAGTGTATAATTGTGAAATGCAACTTACTTAGCAGTTAACCTGAAGGGCATAGTCAGTTGCTTGGGTTGTACGCGTCTCCTTTCACCCCACCAAGCGTCAAACACCCGTCGTATCGCTCTCTGTGCGCTCAGCTCGTCTGACTCGCTGGAGCGTCGCCAACGCACCTCGCCAACCGTCTGCCCCGCGTATGGGTACCGTACTGGAAATAAGAGTATGATTCCAGGATTCCAAAAAATAAATCATAAATTCTTCCAAGAACACCTACCTGTCGCTCGACAATCATCATGGACAAAGTGACACTGGTCTGCCAACCTCTGTGCCAGGAGAGCTAACTCACGATCCCAAGCCTGTAGACAAAACTCAGCTTTAATTTTTTAATTTATAGCTTTTGGAGACGAAAACAACACATTTTCAAATCTTTTTTCGAAAACGATATAGAAAAACATAAAAGCTAATCACTAGCTAGCACTAGCTAAGCACTAATCGTGTTTGAGGGTTGATCTCTTGAATATAATACTAACCACCATCATCATAACCTCTGGCCTGGGCAGGTGTGCTCCACCACGCACTCTCTCGTTACCGGAAGCTATTCTTTGTCGACGTCTGCATTCCATAGAAAAAAACAAAACAATTAGCTATGCAATAACAATGAATCCTAAGAGACAAGGTCACCATATATTTTAACCTTTAACAATGAAGAAAATGGAACAGTTAATAGTGGCAACTAGCATGGAAATGTAAAATTAAGAAAGTATCGATTGCTTAATTCGGGATAGTCTGTTTTTCTAAATGGTGTTTATGACAACGGATAATGAATTCTTACCTATTAATATAATGGACAATGAAATGCTTCAATTCACTTGTGAATCTAATTTGTGTGTAGTTTCGACATGACATGCCCGGTCCCGGCTGCAAAATCAAATATCTATTTATAATCTGGTCATATTTAAAATTATTTCAACCTGAAATCTATAATTTTATGTCAGAATTAAAAGTAATATATATAGTAGAAACAGTTCCTTTGTTGTTTTATTGATAAACAAACGAACACGACAACACAAAACAAAAGAAATCTAAAAGCAAATAGATGAGACGATACGTAAATATTTACATTTCCGAATCGTGACAATGTATTCTACCTAGATACGTCAGGCTTTATGACTAAAATCTATTAATCTCGATAGAAAACAGAAAAAGACAGATGATGAAATTTCATATACCTAACAAGTTCAAATTAATTTGTTTGTCAAATTACAACTATATGATGCTATTAGTAATCCGTATTAAAATCACTAAATCCAGATGATACTCGAAAAGTACTTACGACGGGAAACTGACATGCGACATGGCGACCCTTCCCTTGACACAGTCTTCGGTATCTGACTGCGCAGTACGGCTGGTCGTCGATTAGCACTGACCACGCGAAGGAAGCGCACAGGAACGTTGTCAGTAACCTCGACAGCATTATTGTCTGCAACAATATAACAATTAGTAAACTGGGCATTTTACGGAAGGGGAGATGGTGCCAGAAAGTTCTGGAATTATATCCATTCATCAGGAGGACCATCCCACAACATAATAAGATGTTATCGCAAATAACTTTTGGAACTAGGCTCTCGAGAATGGCAGCCGAGATTGTTTCTAGTCAGTTAAGTCTCATATAGCCCTGTTTTCCCTAGAAGAAGATCTTTTAAAGACTATTAGATTTAAAGATTTTAATGACACCAAAAACAGTACCTTGCCAACACAGGTAGGTTAGCAGTTGTTGACGTCCTGATCTAGTCTGTTCAATCAATCTTACAACGACTGTTATATTTAAATTGTTACAACGTTAGTTGATGTATATGAGTGTCAATATTTTTGTTGTGACTACAATAAAAACAACAGCTTGTTTTGTAAAGTTGGTCTCAAAGAATTATACCGTTGGGGTC